GGGGTGGGGAGGGGGTCCACAAGCACGCCCAGCCCCCACCGAATTCTTTTAGCTTCGTAATTGGAACCTTTGACCTGATCTAAAGTGGACTTTGTAGCAACAAGAGAAGCATCAGCGGGTCGGGGAGGGGGTTGGGGGTGGGAAGCCCTTGGGGGCCTCATGTGTAAATGGAATAAATGTAGTTGTGTTGGAAAATGCTCTGGGGCTGCTGCCTCTGTCCTTGGCGCTGTGCTGCTCCGTGGAGGGTGTCTGTGAAGGAGGGCAGAGAGAACCAGGAGATGCCAGGCACTGGGAACCCACAGGAGCTGGCTCCACTTTTTCCTCCTGGTATAGGGGGCCCCTTCAGATGCTCCGGGGACTGACAGATGCTGAGGAAAGCCCTGATCCCTCCCACGACCCACTGACAAGACCCCACCTGCTTTAGGGAGGCTTCTCGGGGCCTCCCATCGTTATCAGTATCCCTGGAAAATCCTGGGATAGAGAGAGCTGGCTGGCTCTTGTTCTGCTCGGTGGGAGCTGAGGAGAAGGCAGCTGCCTACAACATGGACATGGGAAGAGGGGGCCGCTCCTGCTTAACCCTTATCAGGAAGACCGTGGGCTCTGGGCTGAGGGGAGACGTTGAGGTGTCCGTCCACACGGGTGTGTGGGATACGAGAGGCGCGGAGCAGGGGAAGTCCCTCTGCCTGTTTCTGGGCAGGAGAGAGTCTTGTCCAACTAGCTGAAGCAGATGCTCCTTGCAGTGGCCACAGAGACTGGCCTCAGGGGCCCTCGGGGTCCTGCATGGAGCCCCCCACAGCTATGATTCCCTTCCCATATGATGACTGAACTCGTGTGGAATTGATGTAGACAGAGATTTACATTGGTATCTAAAACAGTTCCCTCCCAACACACCATCACCAACGGGAACAAGCATGACCAGCCCGCCAGGCGCAGAGTGGGTGTGTCTGCTGGTCCCAGGGCCAGGAGGAGCTGGGGCCCAGGCCAGGGGGGGGTCAAGGGTCAGCCACCCTTCTGCCAGGCACAGACCCCAAGGGCAGAGCAGGGGCTGCCTGGGATGTGGCACTGGCTGTTCGGGAAGTGCCCTGGGAGTCGGGGGCCAGGTGTTCGCCGAAGGGAGACTTCCGGAGTCTACGAGTGAGATGAGGACTGCATCAGGAGAGAGACTGAGGCTAGGGAGGACGCTCTGCTCTTTCCCAGGTTGTCCTGTCCTCCTCATGTCTGATGAACTCCCCTCACCCCATGTGGCCGACCTCTGTCCCCTTACCCCTAACCCACCTCTTAGAATCTCAGATCCCAGCATGGACAGGACCTGGCACCTACCCTGGTTCCCTCCTGGCCAATACCTTCTTGTCCATGGTCTGAGTTCCAATTCCTCCCCAGGGCCCTTGTTGGCTCAGGACCACTGTGACTGCCAGAGCACAGGTCCCAGAACTGCCTGCATGCACAGCTGTGTTCATGGTGCCGGGCACTGGCCCAGCAGCAGAAGCTGGTGGGGCAAAGCTGTCTGGTATATGGTGGCCTGGCCCCTCTGCCAAGTGACAAGGGGAGCCGTGTTTGGGCGACCCCATCTGCCCACAGAGCACAGCAGTCAGCCGGACAGAGGCCTCTCTGCCCTGTCCCTTCTGCTCGATGTGGGCAGTGTCGGAGGCCTTCTGTCCTCTGTGGCCTTTGGGAAGGAGAGTTTATCTTGGCAGGGCTTCCCCAGCTCAGTGCACATCAGGCCCTTGGGGAAAACGTGGGGAGTGAAGAGTCACTGGTGGGTGATGCAGGCAGCTCCCGTGACTCCTCTACATTCAGGGCCATCCTCAGGAGATGAGGTAACACCTCCCCTTTGCAGGGTTTAGGAATGTGAAGTGAGCCGTGTTTGAAGGGAACGTGGTCAGTACTCTGGTGTGTGTGGGTGCTCAGCCAACTTCCTCACTTAAGGGTGAAAATGATACCTTGGCTTAGTGACACCTCGGGGCTTCTGCTGGTTACCTCACTAGCTGTTTTCTGCCCCACTGTCCCTGTCCTTGTTTTGACTGAGCCATTTCCAAGAGGCAGAACCTGTGCTTCCTCCACCTCTGTGTCCCGCCTGAGCCCTACAATCTGCCCCCACACGGGCACAGTGGGGCTGACGGGGGGGCTCTGATAGACTGAATGTGTGTCCCCCCCAGTTCCTGTGTTGAAGCCCTAACTCCTCATGTGATGGTATTTGGAGATGAGGCCTTTGGGAGTTATTCAGGGTTAGACGAGACCATGAAGGTGGGGCCCTAATGATGGGATTAGGGCCCTGGTAAGCAGCAGACATCCCGGAGCTCGCTCTCTCCCTGACATGAGGACACGGTGAGAAGGCGGCTGTCTGCAAGCCAGGAAGAGAGCCCTCGCCAGAACCGCGCCTTGCTGGGACCCTAACCTCAGACTTCCAGCCTCCAGACTGACAAATGCATTTCGTTTCTTAATATGCGCCCCCTCCCCTACCCACCAAGTCTATGACACTTTGTCCTAGCAGCCTAATGTGACTGGGACAAGCTCCATCATCTCAGGAACTTCCTTCCTGACTGGTGTCTGGAAACTGCGCATCAGAGCCATGGGAAAGAATGAAGAAAGGCTCGACTCTTTACGACTGTCAGCACACCTCCATCCCAAGTGCAGAGTATCACACATGAACCAGGAGCACTGTGGGACACAGTGCAAGGGAATCTGTAAATACCCGTGACATCGTCACATCCCCGTTGGGGGAGGCCACGCAGCTTGCTCACAGCAGGTGCTGGGGGTGTGCTGAGGCTCTAGACGGGTTTGGCCTCCCTGCTCATGTACCCAGGTCACTCTCTGGGAGCCAGTGCGGCTGGAACGGCCCCGGGCGGGTTCGCCTCCTCCCTTCACCACTGGGCGACAGATCCCTGAAGAAGCCATGGCCTCCTGAGAAACTCCATCTGACAATGTGAGCAAGGCCGTTAGTGAACATGCTGTGCTTTCTGACAGCTACCAGGATGGACTTGATCCAGGTGGCTGCCCTTTTGTAGCTGCACTTTGATTCTAACTTCAGCATCCCAAGATGTCTTTCAGGTCTTGGTGCCCTGGGTGGCGTTAGTGAGAGTCACCTGGCTTGGGGGATCCGCTGATATCTGGCCAGGGCTGCCAGAGTCACTGTCACTGAGTCCCTGACCATCACTGGGTACAGACTCTCAACAGTGGCCCTCACCCTGGCACATCCCTTGTGAGGGAGCTGATACACTGGGTTACTGAATTCTGAGTTCTGATGTCATCGAGCATGCTTTGTCTGCACACCTGTGTCCTTTGAGCTCATTTTAGGCAAATGTGTCCGGACTAAGGCTGTATTTACCGATGGTTCACTTTCCATCCTCAATCAGTCCTCGGAAGGATGAATTCCACCTCTCACGCCACGGTCCTTCCTCAGAATTTCCTTTGTCTTAGTTCATTCCAAAGATCATGTTGTAGGGATGTTTATCACGTTTATAGTATTTGCATAAACTGTATGAGCGATTAAAAGATATTCTCTGACATTCAACACAAACAACATAGAAATCTCACAGGTGAAGACAGGATCACAAGATTCCTAATCAATGCAAGTGGATGGTTAGTCAAGGTTAGTCAAGGTAAACTGCTTCATCCCCCTGCCCTTTATTAGCTAGACAGAAACTGACTGTGTACAGGCTTTACTCCTTTATAAGGTACCAAAATAAAACCCCAAAGCACAAATCGCACAAACCAAGCCATGCCACTGGGACCATCGAGTGTCATCTGAGCTAGCTGGGCCATGCCAACTCCTACCCCATCTCCTGCTTTTCCCTGCATTCCTCAGGAATGGGAGCTTCTGTGTGAGATTCATAAGACATCCTGCATTCAGGTCCACTGATGTGTTTTCTTTTTTAAAAAACTGTGCACATTTTATTAGGAATGTTTCAACCACATAGAAAACGTATAATAGAAACCAATACAGACACCACATAGATGTGGGCCATGTTAACATTCTACCGTTTGCTCATTTTTTAAATAAAAGCTTTATTAAGACATTCATAAAGCATGCTCATTGAAATTGTACAATTTGGGTTTTTCATAGAATTTGCAACCATCACCACATTAAATATATTTATAGAATTTGCAACCATCACTGCATTAAGTCTACTTATAGAATTTGCAAGCGTCATCACTATAAACTTTAGAACATTTTTATCACCAAAAAGAAAACCCCTAGGCTGGGTGCAGCGGCTCATGCCTGTAATCTCAACACTTTGGGAGGCCAAAGTGAGTGAATCACTTGAGGTGAGGAGTTCGAGACCAGCCTGGCCAACATGGTGAAACCTCGTCTCTACTAAAAACACAAAAATTAGCTGGGCGTGGTGGCACACGATCCCAGCTACATGAGAGGCTGAGGCAGGATCACTTGAACCCAAGAGGCGGAAGTTGCAGTGAGCCAAGATTGTGCCACTGTACTCCAGCCTGGGTGACAGAGCAAGACTCCATCTCAGAAAACGAAAAAGAAAAAAAAAAACCTTGTCCTTTAGCTATCACTCCCTGCCCCCATCTACACCCTAGGCCTACGTAACCATGAATTTACTTTCTATATAGCTTTACATGCTCTGGACTTCCATATGAATGGAATCATACAATATATGTCTTTCACACCTGTCTTATTCTACTTTGAATATTTCCAAGGTTCATCCATGTTTTTAGAATCTATCATTATATCAAACCTTTTTATTGCTGAATAACATTCCATTGGTGGATATCCTGAAACTTATTCATTCATTAGGTGATGAACA